GTCCCATCTGGATCTCCATGACTGAATTTCAGGAACCCATTCAAACTGACATGACTAATTATTGGGCTGCCAATGAGCACTCCTCTGAGACGGGACCTCAATGGGATGCCTTTAAGGCAATAATTTGTGGTTCCTATATCTCTAATATTGCTCAATACCGTACCATTCCTAGGGCTACCCAACAAAAACTGGAGTCCTCATTGGCATCTGCAAGATCTCAGTATGCCTTCCCCTTCGCTCGAGTCACGTGGTGCCTCAATTGAGGCTCACCAAGCCCTGCAGCTCCAACTGGTTGACTTAACATACAAACACTAGCTATATTTATCTCCTAAGCTGCATGAACATAGTGGGAAGAATGGCAAATTACAGGCCTATCTTTCCCGAACAGAATCCATAGATAGATAGATATACCGGCAATCAGATTGCCCTGATCGTATAATCTCTTCCAACCCTATAATTATTAATCAGACCTTTGTACAATTCTTTAAATCCCTATACTTGGATGCAGGGGCCCCTGCTGAGGATTTTTTTGCAGGCTTTTTTGCCTCCTTAAAATTTCCCACTCTTAGCGAATCGTATCACTCTCTCCTTGAAAAACCACTGAAATTTCAGCAGCTATTCACTCCCTACCCTCTAATAAGACCCCGGTATATCAGACATATAGGGAGGACCTGGCCACACTTACATAGTCTTCAACTCAGCTTCGAGAGAATAGATTACTTCCTGACTCCATAAATGAAGCTCTAATAGTATTGATACCCAAACCTGACAAAGACATGTTGCAGTGTGGGTCGTATCATCCCATTTCGCTACTTAATAGTGATGTTAACATACTGGCCAAGCTTCTAGCTACCTATTTACAGAAAGTGATCCTAACACTAGTGCACTCAGACCAGCCTGGGTTCATGCCTGGAAAGATCACCTATGATAATATACGTCGCCTGTATCTGCACATCCATAGGGCTGCTACTGAGCAGCAGAGTTGTTTAGTGCTGTCTTTGGATGTGCAAAAAGCCTTCGATACCGTTCGATGGCCATTTTTATGGGAAACAATGTCACAATGATGGGTTTTGGTTCCCTGTTTGCTCTCTGGGTACAATTATTGTATGCCAATCCCAGAGCCCGTGTCCATACTAATAGGGATTTGTCTCCAGCCCCCCCCCCCCTTTTGTAGGGGTATGAGGCAGGGTTGTCCCCTCTCACCTCTTCTGTTTGCCCTGGCCATTGAGTCTTTGGCTCTGGCGGTTCAACAGACGGCGGCAATAGGGGGCATCCAGGGTTGTTCACTGGAGGAGAAAATCCCCTTATATGCAGATGATGCATTGGTGTATTTGAATGGCTCTGTGTAGTAATTTTTCTGGTTTTATGTGGGTGGTGGAGCAGTTTGTGGAGGTGTCTGGCTCCCAACTTGCCTATATATATGATTGGTTTCATGACTCCTCTCCTACCTCCTCCACCATTCTCCTGTCTGTCCAGTATGGCTCTGCATCCTCTCTCTGGGACATAGGTCTGTTACCTCCCGGTGCTCCCACCACTCTCCGATGGATAATAGCTGGTTGGTCTGGCGGAAGGGGGGTGGTGTGCTATCTCCATCTCATGGGGTATCCCTACAAACTCCTCTATGGCACAACCCTAATATTCATGAGCTCCTGCATCACCCTGACTCAAGTTGGTGTCACTCAACTTTCACGTTTTTTTTATGGTGTCTTTCTATCTTTTGATGATTTGAAGACCCAGTATAAGGTGGCTAATACATTTTTTTTATAGATTTTTGCTGCTACATCATGCTCTATGGGCACAATTTGGGACTCTGACCCTTAAGCTCTCAGAATCATCCTTGGAAACATTAATTGTCAGACCCAGATATTGCTAAGTTGGTCACTACTTTTTATTCCCGTCTCCAGGCAGCTGGGACTAACCCTTTTCATATTGCTCACAGTAAGTGGGAGACAGTGCTCCCTGGGCTACTTTAGGAGGGTTGGGAAGAGGCTACAGAGGTTTGTTTCCAAGATCTCATCAGTACTGCTGGTATGTTCACTCAATTCAAGTTAATCCACCATCTTCATTACACCCCGGCTAGGTTGGCCCATATGGGCTTCGTATCTGCGGCCTCTTGTCCTTGTTGTGGCCTTGAGGGCACGGATCTGTTGCATATGTTCTGGGTCTGTCTTCTATCATATTGACAGTACCTTTTTGTCTTCTTTGATAACACTCTACATTTGCTAATCCCTTATACACCAGCAGTGGATCATTTGGGCAATTTTAATGATTTCATACCTCAGACTCATCCTAGAATATTAATACTCATGCTTCTGTTTAACAAGACATGTTTTCTAGCATAAAACTGGAAAAATGCTTATCTGGCTGCTGTACAAAGATTTTATCGTATGGTTGATCTTGATCTACCTAAATATAAGTTGATCTACAAATGTCGGGCTTCCCCTAAAAAGTTTACGAAAGTGTGGCAACCCTGGTTGGACATGTCAGACTCTTTCTGGGGTGATATTCTACCATCTCAGTCACTGTCGCATGTTTCTACAACTTTAGATGGTTTTTACACCACTGCTGTGGTAGCTATGGGCTATTTATCTTTCCCGATGTCTGAGGAGTAGGAGGTGCATGTGTGTTTGGTTCTGTATGAGTGTGTTTGTTTGCTTCTGGTTTCTGTGTTCACCATGTTATTTTTCAGTTTGCAACTAAAACAGCTTTTTTAGGTGGGCCCTGCTTAGCCCCTGATAACAAATTGTTCACTGCTTTTGCCCTTTTATGTACCCTTTACTCTGATGTTCTTAATTTGAGGCTCCTGTTTTCTTATTTGTTTATTGTAACTGTTGACGAAAACAAATTAAAATAAATACTTAAAACAAAAAAAAATTGCACTTAGGGGATTTCCTCAAAGGACTAGTTTTTCGTTGGCTATGAGCTCCCATAAGATTTTGGTGGTTATGTTTGGGCACCAGAATGCTATAAATACAGCATGATCTGCATCAGGATGTGGTCTTTAAGTGGGAAGTGAATTAAGGGACCTGTTTTGTATTTCAATGGTTTTTATTAATTAATAACAATTAACACAGGAGCAACAAATCACGCCCACGCAGGGGCTATCAATTGCATATAAAAGAAGTAGAAAATTAAAGAAATCAGTGCTCTAACACCAACAGGGCAAAAGATCACCCACGCAGGGGCTCTCAATGGCACTTAAATAACAAACCATAAATATAACACTGATAATAACTCAGACTATTCACTGCCACACCAAAAGCAAACATAAAAAAAAAAAAAAGAGTCCTGTTTTGAGTATTGAAAGGTAGGTGATTCAGATGATCTCGATTTGGAAACTGGCTGAGAATAGGAGCCTCAGAGAAAATGGTTATTCTGTGTAAGCCCTTTCTGTGTAATGGCCTGTCCGAAAAGAGGATTGTACATCCTGTGGTGGTCTCCCGTCTTGGGAAACCATAAGGAACCAATGGCTCGTGCTGTTGTATCTGAGCAAATGAGGACTGAGAGATAAGAGAAAGCCTCAGCTCTCATGAACATTGCTTGATCGAGAACTGGCTGAGGTATGTATTTGGGGGGATGCGGGGAAACTGCATGCAGAAGGTATTTTACCTCACTGCAGTAAGGTAAAAAACGTTCTGCCTTTGCAGACACTTTAAGTGTCTTTTTCTTGGGCACTACTAGGCATTTTAAATCTATTACTGGAGCACTGCCCCCATCTGGATTACACAGACATGTGGATGAGTTAATGTAATCAGTTTGATTAAGTTCTTTTGTCTTTCTATTATTTGGGGTATTTATTGAATATGAGGGTACAACAACAGGTACAGGAGGCTGATTTAATTTGTCTTAATTAAATCACTCTCTCAGTCTGTAATCTCTGCAATCCTGAGCCACAAGAGAGCTATTGACTTTGCTTAGCACTTGCCATATTGTTGGCTGGTAGTGGTCAATATGATATATTCACATGTAATTTGCTTTATAATATTTTTCTAAAAAATACTTTAATGTTAAACATGACAAAAAAAATACATAAAATGCATTGCCTATGTTTAATTAAGTATTTTAGATATTATAAAACACCATTATCTATTTTTAGTGAATTGGAAGTCAACAACACGTCACATTGTGTTCTCATAACTCTGTATTGAATTCTCTGTTCTTTTTCCTGATTGGTGTTTCCATAGAGTCTTGTATAATATGATTTCATGATGTCAGAGGTAGGGACAGAGCAGACAAAAGTAAATTAATATAGGTATGGTTACTTGGGTTGTGCTTTAGACTAACACCTGAACGTCAATACTCTGCTGATTTTGTTCTCTTTGAAAAGTATGGACTGCCTCTGATTCTTCTGCTTGTTGAACAAGTATTAATCACCTTTGTGTATTACCAGCAATTCAAAACAAATACATCCATGTACTTTGACATCATGATATGACCGGATATACATATCAAAGTCAACTTTGCAAAGAAATATCAGCAAGGAACACTACAAAACATTGTTATATTAGTGGAAACTGTACATTCATCAGGCCTCTACTGTATAATTTGCAATGATATCTTTCAGTTTGGACTACAGGAACTAGGAAAATATACTACAACTCCACATAACTACTGGATTCTCTCTCTTATTGCTTACAGGAATATGAGTTCTAATTTTAACAGTACCACTGTGGATTTGGACCATTATCCCCTGTATTCGTCGGTAAAACTGTACAATATTGTGAATTCCTCAGACTTGAGAGATGAAGATTTAGCTAAGGCTGAGGTGGCAATCTTAAGTATTATTTTGGCCATCACAACACTAGGAAATGTAGGAGTATTGTTTGCTATATGCAGAAGAGTGAAGAAGATGACTAGAATGCATCTCTTTATTGTTCATCTTGCTATCACTGACTTGGCAGTAGCCCTGTTTCAGATCTTACCCCCAGTTGATCTGGGACATTACTTTTCGATTCATTGGCTCTGACTTCCTTTGTAGGACTGTGAAATATACTCAAGTGATGAGCATGTTTGCATCTACATATATGCTCATGATGATGACTATAGACAGATATATCGCAGTATGTCATCCACTAAGGACTTTGCAACAGCCAACACAACATGCTTATATTATGATTGGGGCTACATGGATTATCAGTAGCCTTTTAAGTGTCCCTCAGATCTTCATATTCTCTCTAAAGGAAATTGAACAGTACACAGGAATTATAGATTGCTGGGCTGACTTTAGATATCCATGGGGTGCTAAAGCCTACATCACATGGACCACCATTTCTTTATTTGCTGTGCCTGTTGGAATCCTTGTAGTATGCTACAGTTTAATTTGCTGTGAGATCTGCAAGAACCTTAAAGGGAAGATTCAGACATCAAGACATAGACAAGTGATGCCTTCTAGAGTAAGCAGTATACAAACTATTTCCAGAGCCAAGATCAGGACAGTGAAGATGACTTTTGTCATTGTAATTTCATATATCATATGCTGGACACCCTTCTTCAGTGTTCAGATGTGGTCTGTCTGGGATGAAAATGCTCCAAATGATGGTAAGAATTATGGTGTTTATTTAAATATTATTGTAGTATACTTGTTTTGTTGTAGTATAACTCTTTTATTTACATAGGATTGTACAATCTATCAAATGTCATTAGAACTGATTTATATTGAGCATGACTTCTAAAGACAGCGTAAAGGAGCATTTAAATATAATGGACCATATTTATTTTATAACTTTTTTTTTTCACAAGTTAAGCTGGGTACACATGTGCCAAAAATCGGCTGAAAACTGTCGGTTCAGCAGGAACCGGCCAATTATCGGCCTGTGTGTACATCCCCCCATCTGATAGTAGCCGGTCTCATGACCAGCATCTGATCAGCACTGGCAGCCAATGGCTGTGAGTGCTGATTAGTGTGTCCTGGCCAGAGGGGAGATCACCACACTAACATTAGATGTTATCTATTTGCTGTTTTTTGTTCAGCCCGCTGGGTTAAACAAAAAATCATTCTGTTTGTACCAGCATTAGTTTTAAGCAACCTCATAGAGAAGTGGTTTTTTTTTTGTTCAGCCAGCAGGTTGAACAATAAGGCTGAATGTATTACCCCATCCACACAGTCAATGTGGAGTGGATGGACTTCTGTATAACCTCTCTGACCATACACGGATCAGCATTTGGCCAGTCCTTGGTGAAACCGGCCAAACTTTGATCCATGTATGGCTGGCTTTAGACAATGTGTTGTCGCCAAAAAAAAATCACTTTCTTCCTTTGAAGTATTTACTGGATGTTGGACAATAGAACATGTTGGAGACATTAAAACAATTCAATAAATTAGGCCTAAATAGATTAATATACCTTTTATAAGGTTTTTGCAGTGTGTAATTGGAAATATGCTTCTGTCGCAATCAGTGGTCAGGCTCAAAGACTAGTTGAGATAGAAGTAGCAGGATTATCACTGATCAGTAGGATAAGTACACAGGCAGATCATATACAAAAGGTAAAAATGCCATCATTAAGGGTGTGACCACCCATCAAAAAAGATCTCTCCGATTCATCCTGATACGGGGTGTGGATTCTAAACCGAATTAAGCTTATAAGAAAAAGGTTAGCAGCTGACTAGAGCAAACTGCAAAAATAAGACGTATATTATAAATCCAATGCAGAGTAAACTATTAACATCAATAGTATATGCAAATAATTTCTTTATATTGATCATAAAGATCATTGGAAAGGTTAGGCATTATAGACATGGTGAACACACAGTCAATCACAAAAATAAAAACAGTGAATATAAAAACAAAAAAAGTCCTGCGCATTCACTTAGCTGCATCAATTAAATGGCTGGAAAAGCCATTGTTTGAATAAGGAAGTGTTAATCTTCATATATGGGAGGCTGTTATGGTGTATGGGGGGTCCATTGTGATAGTATTCTGAATGGTTCAATCTTCACAGTTTCAGGTTCCTGTTGTTTTCCAATATTTGAAATATCTTTGCACTTCCCTCATATACTCATCAATGTTGGATATTAGGGTAATAAGTGGAGAAAATCCTGGAGGATTAAATATGTGCAATGAGTATAAAACCTTGGAAGAGTCACCATATGCATGTATCAATAAAAATCACATCAAGTTTGGATCCAATAATTCCTGATTACTCTAAAGAGGAAAATGATATAGTAATCTTTAATTACCTTCCTTGTATCTCATCATCATTATATTAGCTGACAAGAAAGAATTGAACTGTGTATAGCCAACCTCAATCGGCTGATATTTCTTAACCATTAGCCGCCCGGCCAATGGCCGTTTGGCGGCTTCAGAAGTGTCTCTGCACTCCGGGTGCACGCCATTTGGCGTGCTCCCGCACATGCGCCGTTTGCGCTAATGCAGAGCAGCGCAGCAGTGCGATCTGTCACCGGCAGTGCACCTCGGACACGGCCGATGACAGATCCGAGTACCGGCTCCCGTTGCTGGTACCATGTGACCTGCTGTGACCAATCACAGCAGGTCACATGACCGTTGTATACAATGGATGGCTTCATTCATGATGCCATCCATTGTATACTAGTGCCTAGCTGTGAATGGTCACAGCTAATCACATGCACATGTCATGTGATTAGCTGTGACCAAATCACAGCTAAGCACAAAAAAAAAAAAAAAAAAAGCTGAATGAATCGATTTCATTCAGGTAAATGCTTGCTTATAGCAAAGTAATTCTTTGCTATAAGCAAATTGTGTAAAAAAAAAAAAAAAAAATACTGATAACTTCCCCAAAGTAGTACAATGTTACTATGGTAACATTGTACTACTTTGATCATAGTAAAATATGAAAAAAAAATCTTAAAAAAAATAAAAAAAAATGTAATAAAAAATTAAATATAATAAAAAAAAAAAAAAAATAAAATATATATATATATATTTTTTTTTTTCATACTGTCACCAGTCAGTGTCCCTGTTCACCGCCATGCCAGTTATATGAAGACGCTGTACTGCACTGGTGACAGTATGTAAAAAAAAAAAATAGTGAAAATAATTTTTTTAATTTTTTCATTTTCCGAAAAATTATGACAAAAAAATAAAACTTCAAAAAACTCGCCATGCCTCTTATGAAGTACGTCGGACTGTCTACTCTGCAAAAGGGGTCATTGTACTATTCTGACATTCTTGGACCTCAAGAAATTAGATTGGCTGTCAGTACTTCAGGATTGATCAATATTCAGATCTATACCATAGTTTGTGAACTCTATAACTTTCCTACAAACTAAATAATACATCCTAATTTGGGTTATTTTCACCAAAGACATGTAGCAGAATACATCTCGGCCTAAATTTATGAAGAACAATTATTTATTTGTAAACTTTTATAACAGAAACAAAGAAAAATGTGTTTTTTTTTTCAAAATTTTTGGTATTTTTTTGTTAATTTAGCAAAAAATAAAAACCCCAGCGGTGATTAAATACCACCAAAAGAAAGCTCTAGTTGTGTGAAGAAAATGATAAAATTTTAGTTTGGGTACAGTGTTGTATGACCTCGCAATTGTCATTCAAAATGTGAGAGCGCTGAAACCTGAAAAATGGCATGGGCAGGAAGGTGTAAAATTGCACGGTATTGAAACGGTTAAACAAGATGATCTCATTGGATGGCACTATTACTAAATCTATAATAAATAACATGGATATTAGTAGAAAGAAAAATCATGTATTACTGATGGAAATATCAAGTAAAGATGATGATTACCTTGATGGAGGTCATCGTTGTTTTAAAGTAGAAAAATGTGGATCTTGAGACCCATGTTCAAAAAATAGGAGGCAATAAGCCTCCTTAAGCATGAAAAATATGTATTTAGCGCTATATAGAGTATATGTATGACTTGAATCGCAATCCTGCGATGGCATGTATGGACATATATGGAGCTAGCCTGCTGTAGGCCTCAAAAATTCTTCTTCTAAGTAAGAGCAAGACAGTTCCTTAAGAAAAATTGTGGACAAAGTCTTGTTTTTTCCTTATCAATGCTTATCGCATATCATATATAGAGTTGTCACCTATATTAGGCCCAAAAATTTCTCTTCTAAATAAGAGTAATAAAGTTCCTCTGTGAGGCTAAGAACATGTATGTCCTGTGAGGTAACAAAGTGCAAGTCAATACTTAACATACGGTAATTCAAAAAATTACTTGCCACCAGTGGAAGTTATATATTGCCATGCATTACTGAATGAACTCCCGGGAGTCAGCTCATGTACTGGCGGTTTCCATCTTACCCAGTGTATATCCAAAAAGGAGGCGTATAGCGTACCTCTTTCACCACATGGACATTGCAGCGTGGTGTTACGCAGAACGTGATGATGTCATTACGTTGATGCGTTTCGTCCGCCAATCATCGCGGACTTCGACAGGTGTTCACCATGTCTATAATGCCTAACCTTTCCAATGATCTTTATGATCAAAATAAAGAAATTATTTGCATCCACTATTGATGTTAATGGTTTACCCTGGCCCATGACACAGTTTCACCTAAGGTGCGGTACTAGCCGGTGTTCACCAGAGTGCCTGTTGGATTTTGCTGCATGTTAGTACCAGGTTGTGGTCCTCAGGATTGCCCCACCAGGAAGTAAGCAAGCCGGAATCCAGTATTGGAGTAAGCAGGTAAATATCAAACAGAAGCATAGATAGAAAACAAGCCAAAGGTCAGTAACGAGTAGTCTTAAATTGAGATCAAGCAGAAGCATAGTTGTCTTCCCTGCTGCTGTCAATATTTTGCTACAAGAGCGAGATACTGGCTGAAGAAATACAGTAATCTGGAAAATGGGAAGTGCAAAAATATGGCTTAAATCAGGAAGGTCATGGGAGGAGAAAAAGGTTTAAGGTGACAACAAGGTCATGGCAAGAGCATTCAAGTAATTGGCCAGTATTCCAGGTGGCTCAGCAAGAAGAGACATTGCCACGACACAACTAGAGGTTCCAGGTTGTGACAGCTTAATTCTCCATATATGGTACAAATTTTTTTTTTTTTAATAACGTCTATGTATAGCCTTTCTTGGATACAGTTTGGAAGAATTATAACCCATCAGGTTTTTGTTGCTGTCTGTGTCTCCAAGACAGAAAGTGATGAGAAATCCAAGATTTTAAAGTTAATTAGGACTAACCTAATTACAGCTGTTTAATGTGGGAAATTTGTCTCACTTTGTAGAGGTTTCATCTCACTTCTTGTTGCATTTCTAGGACAGGAATTTAAAAGAGATTTCCCGAACTGGACTCAGCAAAAAAAAAAACAAAACTGAAAGGGGGGTTTAACCGTTCCCTACTCAATCCAAAACTTAAAAAAAAATTGGCTATACATTAGAGATGAGCGAATTATTCAAAAATTCGATTCGACTGATTCGGCGAATTCGTGAAAAAATTTTGATTCGAGTCGAATATATTCGCTGCGAATTTAACTTATAAAAGGGTGTTTCTAGGCTTCAGAGAGCCTTTATATTAGTGCAGAACACTGTACCTTTAATTTAAATGCCCTTGGAGTCTGCTGGGGAAGAGAAATAATACTATCAGTCAGTATGACATGCAGATGAGTGCTGTCGATCTTAGAATCACCGCACACTTCACTCATTTGGGCAGTCACGGGGCCCAAAACCA